CATCACAGCTGCCAGGGTAAGGGAAAGTGTTTGTGAAATGTAATGTAGACCTTAGGGATGTGACTGCTACACATCACCAGTTAGCAAAGGTATATGTAGTAACTTATGTTCTACCCTTATCTGTTCCTTCTCTTTAAATTAGGCTCTTTGTCCCTGGGCAAGACTTAATTGTCCAGTTATATTCTTTATGGCACTGGAGAACCAACCATACCTTTCAAGAGTTTAGCTCCTTTCCAATACATAGAATAGCCTCTTCGAGTGCATTTACCTTTGTGTCTAGTTTTATGATTTCTTGAATACCTCGGGCATGAGAGACATTTTTGGTTAGCTCATTTACATGTTGAGCTGTATGAACCTCTTGGACTAATGCAACGGTAGAAAAAGAATTGTACACGTAAAGGTCAGTCTTTTATGAGTAAGGGTCATTAGCCTGTTCGTAGCTCCAGGGAAAGTGTGGAGGGAAACAGGACCTGCTGGAGACACGATGTCTGTTCCCATAATCATAAAAGAGGAAGTTCCCACAATAAGTTCCTTCACAAGGTGCAATCATCGTACCAGGGCCAGAATAAGGGGACAAGTCACTCTCAATACTGATCAACAAGGTACCTTGGGGGTCGGTGCTCAGGCAGAAATAATTGAGTGGGGGTGGATATCGGTCATCGTCTGATGGCAAGAGACCGTGCAACTTGTTTTAACCTCACCAGGAGCCCTCTTGACTAGTGGGCTCAGAAAGGCTCCCAAGAATTACTGAACATGATTTGTCTGGAGAGACAATCCACCATGGGCTCTGAACATTCTTGGGGAGCATGCCAGATGCCAGGCTTCTCTGTCTTCCGATACTGAACAGTTCTGTGCCTGGTTACATAGACGTCTAGTAGGTCAAGATAACTAGAATGAGAGCTGCTTGATCTCCGGGGGAAGGTAGACTCACTTATTTGTTGTGTGCTCCACTGTAGGTCGCTTGCTCAAAACCAGTGGATTTTTGACCCTGAGTTTCTCAGCTATTCCAAAACTCCCAGGAAGGTGGGGGACCTGCTCCCGGGCCCATCGAATTACTCCATGGACATTGTGGATAGGGTAACCAGTGCATATATGCTGATACTCTACTAGTTTTTCTGTAATTTTTTTCCTCTCTGATCCAAAAGATTTATAAATGTGTTGCAAATGATAAGATCTCAAACTTTTCAAGAGTCGTGATATAATTGACCTCTTGACTATAAATTTTATCAAAATTTAATTTGAGCATAAAATGTAAATATGTGTCATTGCACAGTTCTGATTAAGTTTCAAACATCTTTTTAAATATTCTTTCATGAAAAGCATTTCTCGGGGCGCCTGGGTGGCTTAGTCGGTTAAGCGTCCGACTTTCGCTTAGGTCATGTACTCGCGGTTCGTGGGTTTGAGCCCCGCGTCGGGCTCTGTGCTGACTGCCAGCTCAGAGCCTGGAGCCTGTTTCAGTCTACGACTCCCTCTCTCTCTGACCCTCCCCTGCTCACGCTCTCTCTCTCTCTCTCTNCTCAGAGCCTGGAGCCTGTTTCAGTCTACGACTCCCTCTCTCTCTGACCCTCCCCTGCTCACGCTCTCTCTCTCTCTCTCTCTCCTAGAAATAAAAAAAAAAAAAAAAAGCATTTCTCCTGCCAGTTGGTACTATGGCTCAAATACAGTCATCTGGATGGCACTATCTTTTTCATTATTGTAGTTCTGCTAATCACCTCCTCCTTGTTCCTTATGTTTTTCCACATCTACATTTGTGAAATATTGCTCTCCTCCTAAATTTCTAAACTCTCAGACTTTTTCACCTGTTAATGGTCAAAGTTTATTTTTGGTATTCTTTATAATACTACTTCTCTCCTAACCAGCTATTCTATATGAATTACTCTTAATGTCTTTAATATGTATCCTAAAATTTATTTATTACTTGTTTATTCCTACAGCTTCCTTCTTACACATTTAATATTTTTATTGGACCTATGATTTCTGATGTACTGTGTTATCTACTTTGTTGTGTTCTCCCTTTCATGGTACAGTTTTGGAGATATTTTCTTTCTTTAAGCCAAGGCTAAAATAAAATTCACTATTTTGTAGAACTATGATTATATTAAACACATTTCACCTAAGAATCAAAACCAGAGGGTATTTTCTCCAAGTATAAAATATGAAAGTATTAATTGTAGATAACATGTATATTCTTACCATCTAGCAAACAGAGGTTTTACATTTTTATGAATAAAAACATACCCTTCATAATCTCCACACATCTTTAAGTGAATTATACATGCAGTATGTGGTAGAATTGGGATTTAAACCAGGGAAGACTGGCTTGAGTATTTAATATCTTAACTAGTAAGCTAGAAGGCATTCATTTGACTAGTTAGTAAATTCAAAAATTGAATTCCAAGGTCAAATTTTTCTCATTGCTCCTATGGAAGTAGCATCCAAATTAATTGCTTGATATTTGGGAACCTATCTTTATTACAACCAAATTTTCCCCAACATGTGACCAACATAAGCACCTACTGGCAACACTTTGTCACTACACACCTAACACTTTCCTTATTATTATCCTTTGTGCTTCTATCTTAGAAAAGAATAGTGCCTTCTGATATAAAATAGAAGGGTGTAGTGGACAGATGATAGAGAATCTTCATCCATATCAAATTTCCTGACTGACCTTGGACTAAGTTGCATTCCTTGAATTTTAGGGTTTTTTTCACTGTAAGTCTGAGATAATAACATGTTCTATACAGGTTGTTGTGAGCTTTAAATGGCACTGCTATTTATGTGGCACCATATAAGCATTCAATAAATATTATTTCTTTCTGTTCTTTGCGAAGTATATCATGGATTGTTATTTAATATCCAACATCTATTTCAATTTCACACATCACTGCTCTTTGGTGTACAGAATGTGAAACTATAGTATATATTTATTAAATTACTACAAAGAATATTAAATTAAAGGCTAGATCCTTTATTATAGTGAAGTACAAAGTGAATTCTTTGTAAGGCAAATATTTTTTTTGAAAAGAGAAACCTTCTATTTCATTTTCTGTTTTTTTTTTAAATTATTGAATCAGCTTTATAGAAGAAAGACATATCAATAATACATTTTCAATATTTGAAATTAAATTAATGACAGCAACTTATTCCAATAAAACAAACATATTTTTCAAGTAAACTACATGATTAAGATGAAGGATATGTTTTATAATTTTATTTTTATTACTCTCATAAGTTTTCCATCCTCTTTTGTTAAACAGAGATTTGGTAGTAACTTCTAAATGTCCTAAGACAAAAATCCATGTATTTCTTTTTGTCTTAGAGTTTCTGATGAAAGTAAAATACCCACATAGGCCAATAAAATCAAATGGCTTGTAATATAAAATTCTTAAAATATAATTAATAGGATTATTTCAATCTATTGGAACTCAGAACTGCGAGCCAAATTAGGGCTCAACACAAGCTAAGTTCTAGGGTGTGACCAAGTATTAGTCTACAGAATCAGATAATCATATTCTTATGATGTGATTCTCCGGTTCCAAAATTCACAAAATAACTTGTCAAGCATCAAAATCTACCACATCAAGAAAGTATTAATCCAGTGTTATAGTCTCAATCCAAAACAGCAATTCAATTTTCCCTAAATCAGAGAATAGCTACTTTACTTGGTCACAGAAACTGATTTTAGAACTGAGAACTGGAATTTTGTATAAAATAAGAGCAAGTGTAACACCTGGGAAGGGTGAGTTGGACTTTCACAAACTGGTTATCCATGTGTTAGTGTCAAACTTGAGTCAATACAGACAGCATAATGGCTCAGTCCAGCTGTCTCCTGCGTTATTGCTGCCACTGGGCAATAGGTAAAGACAAGTAGCCTCAGATATTTTCATTCATCCGTGGCCACAGCTGGGAAACAGGGGGTGCCTCACGTCTCCAACAGATTTGAGAAGATTCCTTTGGTCTGCCAGAATGCTGATAAGGAGAGGAAGGGCTCTGGATCTTTGCCATTGTATAACATTGGGCTTCCACCTGGGATCTTTAGTTATACAAGAAAGTCACAATAATGCCACTTAATTCCCATGTTAAGACGCTGAAAAAGCTCCATAATTTGTAGGGTAACTGAATCTCTGCTGATGGACAGCTGTCTTGGACATCTCTCAAAGAAAAGGTAAAACTTTTTGTAGCACAATGTCCAGGCAGAACGGAGGAAAAAGTACATTTTGCAGTTCATGATAACATTATCAATTATATGTTAAATATTATATTCCATATTACAAATTGAACATATCATAACTATACATTGTATGTAATATATTATATCTTTATACAGGGAATATATACTATATATCATACAATTTAGTGCATACAACACATTTTATACCACACATAATATGCTATATATTATAAATTTGACATTATATATACTAGACACTTGTCTATGCATTCTAATGCATTTAATTTATTACAATAATGTTATGAGTTAGGAAATATTATTGTCTAAATCTTACAAATAAAGATTGAGACTAGCTATGCAGAGCATATTATTCTCATTTCCTATGCTAAAAAAATCACAGTTAAAAATATGAGATGAGGGTAAATATTACTAGATCACATATGAATTTCTCTGATATTAGTTATGTCAGGAATAACTACTGCCAAGATACTAGTGGCACTCAGGTGACCTTAGCGTGACATTTAATCTTCAGCGCTACCCAATGCACCTTAACTTTCTGCCGCTGGGAGGCACTCCTGCACCATAGGACAAAACTTTCTGGCTTTAAACTTGGTTTCTTACGCGCTTCAAAGGTTAGGACAGAGGCTTAAACCACACTGTAAAATTTGCAAATAATTCCTGCACGTTTCTAAATCAATAATGCTGGTGATCAGAACCTGGATTTTCTGGACTGGTATCACTATTCAATTGTGTCCTAAATAGGGAAACAACCAGAAGATCTCAAGTTCTTCAAGTTAAGAAAAGTCTACCCATTTCTCCCTTCCAGGCAAATGCCAGTAGGCAGCCTAGAGCCTGGAAACGGATTTAGGCGGGGCCCCGGATGTGGTGGTGCCTGTCTGCAGACTGCGGAGCCCAGAGCCTGAGAGGACTGCAAGCTAGACTGAAGCTAAGCAGATAGGAAGTCCAAATAAGGAATCCATCCCAAGAGCTTGGCTTTAAATGTAGAAGCAGTGCATACAGTGAGAAATCAGAAACCTCACACCTTCCGGGGCTTTAATGGGAGAGCTGGAAATCAAACCCAGTGGGCACCCTGGAAGAAATAGCTGAAGGACATTTTTCCCCATCTCACTGGCTGCTGATGGGGAGCGAGCAGTTAAGGGAGCTAGTCTGGCTGAAAGGGAATTGGTACTATGATTAAGAATTGTAAAAATAATTCAAATTTTGGTGTTATTTATATTATCCACACGTATAATGTATAATTGTCACACGTAAGAATAATAAATTGTTCTTAAATATTTGATACAGTGATTTCTCGTAATTGTTTTTCCTCCTGCTGTAAGAACATGGCTTAACAACTGTGATGTTTGATGAAAACTGAAGATTTTTTTAAGTCAAAAATAAATAAATTGGAGTGGTTACTCAGAGCTACAACAGCTGTGTTTTGATGTTTACAACCACAGATGTTAGATGTTTCCAGATGGAAACAAGGTTGTCAGTCTTCAATTTCCTCGAAAAAGAGCCATATAATGACGGGCAGTTAAAAACCAGTCTCATAGTTTTTCCATGATACTAGTCATGAAATTCTACAGTTTGCTTGCAATATATGTCTAATGTAGTTATCTGGAGGTATATTTGGTTCAAACATTTGAAATGGTCTATTCATTTCTTATTATTCCACATCAAATACTGACAAGAGTGTTCACAGCAGTGTTTCAATTAATGTCACCATTCAAAAAAAAGAAAAAATCTTGGATGCTACCTAGCTAGGTTATGGCTATGGGCTCTTATAATATTAGCAAATAGAATAATGAGAACTCCAAAAAATTCACAGTTTTAATTCACAGTGATTCACAGTGATTCTGTCAATCTCCTCAATCTCTGACTAGACTGTTTTATAAATGATAATAGTAGGTAATACTTACAGCACTTTAGTTTGCGCTCAGCACTATGCTAAATATTTTATAAATAATTCTATTTCATATGCAAATCTTGCAACAATACTATGAGAAAATTACTGTTATCCTCATTTTCCAGGTGAATAATTGAGGCTTGGAGACATTATATAAATTGTCAAACTTCGTACAACCGAGCACGTGGCAACTGAGATTCAGATCCAGAAACCCTGATTCCGCCTTCCAAGTTCTTAACCAATATGCCCTCCAATCACCAATTATGCTATTTTGTGCTGCATTTGATCCTACGTCAATCAACATAAATGTAGGACGAAAATAAAAGGTTTCTAAATCATTAAAGAGAGGAAACTAAAACATAGAAGTGACAAATTAAGAACAACAAAGATCATGTCAATGTTCCAGACCTAACTGTTCCACAAGCCTTCCTGCAAGCACTCTGTAGCTGTTGGTTAAGAGTCCCAGAGGTCTCCATCATTTCCTGTTTCCACGTGAACAAGGAAAACCCGTTTTTCACACAGATAGGTGGCCAGACATGCTTAGCCTCCTCTGACCTACTACCCCCAGAATACTCAGCAGCTAAATCATTGATCAGATATTAAGGTAAAATGAAGATATTTTAGATATAAAATTCTCCAAATTTACCTGCCATACATTTTTTTTGCTGTTTAGTTTCTTTAAGTTTTACAGCATTCTTGGGGTATATTTGACAAATAAAATTATAACATATTTAAAATTTACAAAATGATGATTTGACACATCCATACACTATGAAAGGATTTTCTCCAGAGAGTTAATTAACATGTCCAACACTTCATCTATTTACCTTCTTTGTCTTTTTTTTTTAAAAAAGATTCTGCACATAACCAACACCATGCAGTATTTATCTTCCCCTGTCTGGCTTATTTCACCTAGCATAATGCGTACCAGGTTAACCCATGTTGTCACAAATGGCAAGATATTCTTTTTTCTAAGGCTGATTAACATTTTATTATATATGCATATATAGATATATATATGTTTTCTTCTTTGATATATCCATAAACAGATCCTTAGGATTCTTAGGTTGTTTCCACACCATAACTGTTGTGAACAAGTGAAAGGAACATGGGAGTAGAGATATCTCTTCAACACAAGAGATGTCTCTTGAAAACATTTTATTTCCTTTAGATGTATACTCTAATTGATATCACAGGATCACATAGCAATTCTATTCCACTTTCTTGAGGAACCTCCATACACCTTTGCATAGTGGTGGTACCAATTCACATTCCTATTAACAGTGTATAAGAATTCTTTCTCTTCATCCTTGCCACCATTTGTTATCTATTATCTTTCTGATAATAGTCATCCTAACAGGTAGGAGGTGATAGCTCATTATGGTTTCAGTTTGCATTTCCTTGATGAGCTGTGATGTTGAATACCTTTCATACACCTGTTGACCTTTGTCAATATTTGACATTTTTGGAGAGGCTAATTTCTCAAAATAAATATTAAGTAAATATCTAATCTTTATGTCATAAAACTTTATATACGTATATTTGAGGTCCTAATCCAGAACTTTTTTGAATAATTATATGGTGCACATCTTCACCATGTACTAATTACCAAAAGCTAAACTATTAAGTAGGAAAATGATAGTAATAGAGAAAACAAATATTCCAGAACAGATATATTCTTTGAGTTATTATTAGCTTTAGAGTGCCATTGGAAAATATTGAGGCTGCTAATAAAATGAAACCAAAAACACTACACATGTTTAAATCCCCAGGATTTCATTGAGTGTTCAGATATACAGAAAAATGAATGCAGCCTTAGTAGAATTTCCCAATGGTATTAGTTGTTCCTTGATCCCTTATGAAAATGAAGAAATATTGGGAAAAAATTTTTAGGCTTGAGCATATTATAAGAATCAGAGACCCAGTATCAGGCAATAAGTAAAATAACTGTTTAACTTACTTTGAGTATCATGAGTATTGAAGGCTAAGAATGTTCAATGTAAAGCTTAAATCCAACATTTGGAGCTAATTATAATCTTCTACTGCAAATTTTAAATAACAATGGACAAATGTTTGATGATATTTGAACTCATGGGGAAATCAGTTACTTCATAGTCTAGGTGAATAGCACCCTTTCGTGTAGAAATGTCAGTAATAAGACAGTAGGCAAAAGTGAATTCTCTTTTGTATTTAGGTGGAAGACACTGTAACACATGATAGAGTAAAAGAGAGGGACTGTCCAAGGAAGCAATAATATTAAGAGCAGTACTCCTGAAAGGTACACTTTATTGAAGCAAGTTCCCACACCACAGACAGCCTTTATGATACTTGCAATACAGCATGCAAAAGGTAAATGTAAGATGAAAACCAAGCCAGAGAACATATGGTAATGAGATAGAAGCTCTGATAACTTCTGGAAATAAGGAACTGGAGATTTCTTGAATGCATGTAAGGACACATGTGTGAACTTGTTTATGTGGTTTGTCTCACACGTCCTCCATTCTTATTATGTTAAAAAAAATGCCAACCATTTCTCAAATTCAGGAAATGAACATGATACAAACTAGAATACTTGATTCATTCTCCAAGGTTTTACTGAGTACAACTAGAGGGAAAGGTTTTTCCTGACAGGCCATGAAATTGTTAGTGTGAATTCAGAACTACCAGCAACATATCCCTCATGCAGATAGCCCTGACTGCTCTAAAATACAGCTAAAATAACCTCGGAAGGAAATCATAAAAGACTAATGCAGAGAGAATCCTGAAGACATTCAGTTTCCCGGTTCCATTCAACCTCAGTATCACCTCTGCCCTTCCTGGGTATGTGTACCAATAAATCTCATTTTGAACTTGAGCTAGTTTGCATTGACTTTCTGTCAGGTACTACTAGAGAATAGTGGCTATTACAGAGGACTTAATTCAGTGGTTGGAAACTGCCCCTGGCTCTATAGGCTTTCAAGGAAAATACATGTGGTATGAGTGTAGGGAGTGTGGGGAATGTGGGCACTGGGGATGCTTTTTGCTAGCTCTTAGGCCCCGAGCAACCCAGAAAACCAAAAGACTATATGCAAGCATAGTAGAGCTAAAAAGAAAACCATGTCAAACTTCTTATGGTTGCAGAAAATTACAGAAATCTCAGGAAGAGGTAAAGGGGACTGGGACTCACAAAAGTAAAATCATGTCAGGTGACCATATGGCTTGGTGAAGCACATGGCAGTGGTGCTGAGTAGTGGTGCTGATGGATAGCAAGTAATTGCACTTGGAAGCTCTTTTCTGAAGGATACCATTTAAACCATATTTCATTATAATAATTGTGTGGATTGATATTATTCATTTCGAGTAGAAAAATCTGTATATATCTTGATTACATGATATTTGTAAACTTGAAATTTTGTGAATTACTTTTATAAATATGAATATGTGGTTATAGAAGAACCCATACATTCAGCACTAAATCCGAACTAACACTTGGTCTCAGACCCAAGTAGAATAAAATGGATGACCACACTGATAGCACAATCTAATATATGTAAACCATTTCCCCAGTCTAAAAAGCTAACTCTTCTAGACATCTCTCCAAATTATATGGGACCTAATATGTCTTAAAGGGGAAGAATAGAAATTCTCAAAATATACACCACTCTCAAGAATTACCAGCTTGACAATTAAAAAATAATTTTGGAAGTTCAATGCTTATCACAGTACACTTATGAAAATCTACTGTCGGGTTAGAAAGTCTCATAATGTCTCTGTCAAATAGTTGTTGAGCAAGAATTTCAGACTGAAAGAATGAGGGAAATACAACATTATAAGAGTCAAAGGCTAAGAATTTTTCAGAACATATGGAGTTGTGACTGCTTGTATTACAGTCACTCATAGGATCCTGAGAAGGAACACTGAGCTAGGGCTAATGCAAGAGCAACAGCAGTGCTAGAATATAAAGTTATAAACACATATATAACGCATATTTTAAAATGGT